ACTATTGATATAAAATTTGTTGAAAGTCAGTAATAGCTGTTCCCTTTTTCTTTTTTTTTACAATAATGATAGTTGACAATTTAAACGATCGTGAGTTCATGCTGGTCTATTTCACTAAATGTTGCATTAATGTCTTTAACCCATTCCATCAACCTTTTGTTTTGTTCTTTTTTCAATTTATCATTTTTATTCCGTTTCTTTTCTTGTTTAATAAACACTTCTTCTCCTTCACTACCTTCTGAAAAACTGAATCTTACTGCACGTTTTCGTTTGTATGAGTATCGTGGGGGCTAAATTGCAAACATAAGATATTAGTAATAATTCGTAAAATTTAAGTAAAAGTAATTCAAAATAGTACCGTTGTAAAGTGGGATGGTTCCATATCAGTAAACAATGGAATTTCAGATACATCCACTACAGAAGTTTCATTTGTTTCAGATAGTACATCAAATGTATCAGAAAAGTTAGTAATGTCTACTATTTTTTGTTCGTTCCTTTCCTTAATGGGTGACTTTTTTATTTCTTTTATTTCATTTTGTACATTTTTTTTCAATTTTTTAACTAATAACTTATTTTTTATCTCACCAATTGATAACCTTGCAGTAGGTTTTGTATTGTATTGTCCTAAATTTGTTTGAATACTCTTGTTCTCTTCTTCTTTATCATTTATAATTTTATATTCAACAGAGGATATATCTTGATTGGAATCTTCATCATTAAAACCAAATGCATTTTTTATTTCCATATTAGATTCATTAAGCTTTATTACTGATCTACTACTAAGTGCTGTTGATTGCCCATAATCAAAAATTCCATGAGGAGTTGTGATTGTAGTATTTTGTGGCATGTCCATTATATTTAAAAAGTTATTTAAATTTGATTGTCTTAACACCCTTTGTTCATTAGAAATTGGTAGTATTTGTAAACCTGATGGACCAGGTTGAGGATCCAAATTTTCTTTTAGTTCATCAGCTTGTGTATTTAATATACTTTCCTGATGATTTTGGAATTTCGTTTCTTTTGCTTCTTTTTTAAAAGATTTTTTTGGACTTAATGTATTTTTCGTTTTGTTCTCATTATTATTAAACCTAATTGAATCATTCATATTAGAAGTAATTGAGTGTACATTTGACTGAATACTCACATTTTCCACTACTACTTGTTCATTTACATGTTCTATTGGATTAGCATGTAAGGAATGATCTATGTTTGTAATTTCTGTACCAAATTTTCTTGATGGTAAAGTATTTTTCTTTTTAGGAGTATTTGTAGTAGAATTTTCTATACTCATATTTTTATCATTCTTCTGCAAATTATTTCTTGCTTTCAGTATATTTCCATACTGTTTAGATTCATCATTTAGAGATCGCACAAAGTTTTTACTTACAATGTTGTACTTTTTACTTTGTGGTGTACTTTGAAACATATTTTTTACTTGAGAAAATGTAAGTAATGGTGATGCCCTCCAGGGACTATTAATTTGTAAATTTTCTGACAATTTCATAATTGGTGATAAAGACTTCTCAAATAAAGAACTGTTAATCACATTTTTTTGTTGTATTGTTAATCTATTGTTAAAAACACTTGTTGGTCTAAATGGTTTAAAATCAGCTGAATTTGATATTTGCGACATATCTTTCAATAAAATTCTTTTATCATTTAATTTTTTTATTGATAAAATTACAGGTTTCATAATTTTTTTATCCTCATTTTGTTCTTTGATTATATTTTCTGATTCTTTTGAGTCTCTGTTTTCTTCTACATCTGGTTTAGGATTTTCTTCTACATCTGGTTCAGGATTTTCTACTAAATCTTCCTTTTTAGATAGAGGTTCTACGGACATTTTATTTTGAACAGATTCAACAGGATCTTTTTCTTTGATTTTTTCTAATTCACCAGTAATTGATGTTTTTTTACGAACTTTTGTCTCTTGCAAATTACGTTTTGAATTAACAACATTTTTCTTTTTCTTGTTTATCAATGTCTTCTTAATAGTAACTTTTCTCTTTTGTTTCTTGGGTAATCTTTCTTTTGAATCATTAATATCAAATTTGAACTCATAAATTTCATTGGTACTTTCTTTAGGATTTTCTGGTGAAACACAATCATAAATAGGTTGTTTTCTTTTCATAACACTTACTCTCTTTGTTGATCTTTCTTTTACTAATGTAGAATCATTCTTGGAATTTTTAGAATTTTTATGAGAACGTAACAGTTTTATTTTAGAATGGTTCAAAAATGACTCCTTTAATGACATTTGTCTTGAATTAGAAACATTTTTATTTATCCTATTACTAACTTTCTTCTTTTTATCTTTTACTTCCTGCTTATTTCTATTACTACCACTACTATTTAGATTTTTTTGGGCTTCTATTTTATTATTAATATTTTCCTTAGATAACTTTTTACGCCTCTTACATTTTTGTTGTTCTGTTTGTATAGTATTTTCAGATTGTGATATTGACATATCTTTTCCATTTTTTGTTTTCCTAGTTTGAATTCTTAATCTTGTATTTATTACTTTCACATTTGATGTTTTATCGATAGATTGCTTAGTTTTAAATATTATTTTTGAAACTGTAGTTT